AAGGGGGTTGCATTTTCTATTTCAAGGGAGGTTCCTGCCTTCCTCTGCAAACACTTGTCTTTCAAACCAAGACAATTCCCAATATGCATTTGCAGATCCTTACCAATTTACCTCTCTGAAATAAATCCTTCCCCCAACACATCCCTAGTGCCCCTCCTACTGGATACAGAGTTCCAGATAACTTTGTACATCTGAACTTCAAGGTCTTCAGTCCAGCTGATAAACTTTACAGGTTTGTTCAGATTCATTTCAATTTGACATCTTTGAAATATAGGGTCCCCCATTACAGAAGCAGTTTTGTTTGGCATTTTGTTTGAAATTAAGTTCACAACTCATGATCCCATCACCCAAGTTGGGCTTCTACATTTATCAAAAACCAGAGCAAGTAGAACAAGGTATTGGTCACTGTTACATCCTTTTGGTTTTATGTTCTTACCCTTCTCATCAGCTTTCCTGATACACTTAAATATTTTCTTAGATTCCCTCAAATGTCACACATCACTATTTAGCTCACTGAGAGCTGCTAAGTGTCAAACATTTGCAACTCTACTTTCTAGATACTGCAGTTTTGAAAATCCCCGTGTTCAAGTACACCTTATTATCCAACACCCTTGTAAGTATAAAAAAGGGAAAGATACCTCTGATTCAGAATGGAGGGTTGCTCTATGTTCCATCCACATCCTCCTTCTTCAGTAATCCTGATTACTTGTTTTGTCAGTTTATTTGAAATGTCTTCACATTTGTTCATGAGCTTTAGAACTACATCCCTCTCCTTCAGCAGTACCTTGCAGTTCCACACTATGTCTTCTGACAAACCAATAGTCTTAGTCATTTTTGTAAACTGCAAATTAATAATAATAAAATACTATGAACACAGGTAATAGCAGAAAAGGTGCTATGGTAAAAATCCACAGCTGCTGCAGGCAGCAAGCAATTCAAACCACAATAGCATCCCAATATCCTCTCAAAACTTCAAATATTCCTTACACACTTGGACCACTGCAAAACTGCGTGAATCCACACATTCCATCTCCTCGCACTGCAAAACATATCTTAAAACAAGAGAGATAATTTATCTGAAGAGTTTTTAATGTAAAATATAGGTGCTTTAAAAACTTAAAATCCTCAAGGGGAGGCAACATACAGTGCAAAACAAACTTTGAAGGCCAAGCCCACTAACAGAACAAAACCACAAAAGGAATTAAAAGATGAACTGATTATCATTAGATCTGCTTTTAAGCAATCCCCATTGGATATTAAAGATATAAGACGTAGGCATAACATAGGCACCAAGGCAAAACGACCTATGAAGGCAGCTATTAAGATTTTACGAATCTGTCCAGAGCTCAGCATTACTCAGTCCCAGTTGTAACTGTACCACAAATGGCACATTCAAACTGGACTTCGGCAGACTGGAAAAAAAATAAAGATTTAAGGGGTAAGAATTTTCCCAAAACTATGTCAGGTTTTTTGTGGTTACCAAGTACTGACAGGCCCAAAAGATCAGCAAGAACTGGTTCATTCTTTGCAGTTCTTCATGTTTCAACACTGGAGGAGAATTTCTTCACCAAGTTAAGATTTACCTAAACTTCTTCCTTGCAATGAACTAGACCCACCGTGAAATCTATGAAACGCCACATTACACAAATCTAGCAAGGCCATTAGCACCTGCCTATACATTCTCCTAGGCAGCACCATCATGCTGACAAGGTTTTAGCACCATTCAGTTTCTCCATTTTTTTTGCACATTCATGTTTCAAGTCAGTATTACCCTCATTTTAGAGGGACAAACAAGACAAAACACATGAACACATTTTCTAAATGTGATAGCAAACAAGCTGGCAGAGGACAAGTCAAGATACCAGAATCTCAATGCAAATACAAACTAACACAAGGCGTGTGCATCACTCTCTGAGTGCGCCTGGTCTACAACTATGAAGCACACCAGTGCTTGAATCAAAAGCTCGCAGCTGAGCCATGTGGACAGCCCACACTGAGCATCACTGTGGCTCCCGATCCTGCCATAGGGTATTGCCTCTTATCCTGGCTGAGAAGAGATCTTTAAGTGCTCTAACTGCTCCACCACCATGTCCTCATCTTCCCAAAACACACGTGTTCCCACCTTTCCTCCGCTGCTTTGTACTCTGGGTATGCTATTAAGAGCAGAGGTTGCTTCACTCATGCCTGCTAGAAGATGCATCTAATCTAGCATCAATTTTATTTTTTTTAAATAATGGCTCCAAGTCACAATCCTTCCTACATCATGAACACATGCTTTCTCCAAGAGCTCTTGATCTCTCTGTTGTTTTGAGAATTGCTGCTCACAAGTCTCATTCTCACAATCTTGTGCCAGCCACAGACCTACCATGTGACACCATGTCTTTTAAACTTAATTTTCTCTAATTTTTTCCCCCCTTTAAACTGTAAAGCATTACTAATTTTGACACAGAAGCCTTACTTCCACCACTTGCTTCCTCAAGTCCACACTAGTTACTTTATATTTGCTTCCTCTAAACTTTCTATCTTCACTACAACCTGGATATTCTCTGGTTTAGAGACAAGCAGCCTGAAACTGTATCAAAACAGGCCCTTCAGGCCCAGCAGCTTCTCCTGGATTCCAGGTAGGGCCATCTGCAGAAAGCACAAAACCTTCTAATAAATTTATTTTTGCAGTACCTGAGGTCATATTTGTAATTATAGTATTTTCACATGTATTTATGCATAAAGTTATTTCACTGTAAAGAACAGACATCTTTTTATTAATGGATTTAAAGAATTGAAGAATACAAGATCCTTTGGATTTGCCATTCTTTTGTTAAAACAGAAGTAATTTCCAGATTTTTATAAATTTTAAATCATGGATCTGTTAGAATTTAGCACAAGACTTCACAGGCATATATCCTCCTAGAATTCCTTCTTTAAAAAAAGGTGTCATATGATCCAGCTGTGTTGCATAACCAATCAATTTGCCACATCGCAGAGTAAATGCAGGCTTTGTTAAGCTGAAGTGTACAAGCAGGCTATGCTTTGATAAAAAAGAAAAAAAAAAAAAGGAGTGATGCCCTCTACTGACAGCCTGCCGTTACAGTTTTGGGGGGTTTTGGTTTGTGGTTTCGTTCCATTTTAACTAAAACCCAGGAAGTTTACCATCACTCATAGATTAAACCAAGCTGAGGCACACATGTCAACACTTGTGAAGACGTTTTCTAAATACACACCTCTATTTAGAAATAAAAAGAGACTTAAATAACATGATTTTTAATATGCAATTAAAAAATTTCAACATTTGTTTTGATGCCTAAAGCTTTGGTTGGCACGAATATAAATCTTGTAATCTATAAATAAAGGCGTGGAGAATGAAGCCACCTGTTATTAACAGAAATTGTATTGTTTCATGTCAGCACATTAACATTCACCTCCAGGTTACAACAAGAAAAGCTTTAGCCACTGCTTTACATTTGGAACACACAATGTTACCCTGTCGTGCAGAACACAAAGCAGATCCTCAGGTGGCCTTTGACTTGCTACAGGTTCTGACATCCTTCCAGGTTCCTTTTTTTCAAATGAGGTCCAAAAGTGTGAGACCATCATGGACAAGTGAACCCATGAGCCTCCACAGCACGCTTTGAAGAAAGGTCCACTGGAGTCCCAGGCTGCAGCAGTGCCCCACGGTGCATAACTGTGCCGGTGTGCTCTGCTCAGGCTTACTTCAAATCACTTGAAGGCAATTTAGGATTTCACTTTACTGCTTAAGGGTGAAAGTCAGCCTCGAGCGCAATCAACAAACTCCAGTTTCACTTCAAGCAGCTCCCATTTCCAACCTGATGCATTTACGGCTTCCCTTCAGCTTGCTTTGGTGCAAGTTGCTTCTGGATTTCCTGCTAGTTTGGTTTTCATAACAGTTTGTTTATGTGCAGCCAAACAAAATGAGAGATAAAAAAGTCGAAGCTACCTTCTCTTGAGATTTTATCTCCTAGCTCATATACTATTGCAGCATACAGAATATGACGGACAAGTAAGTCCATATTTGACTGCCCAGTTCTCCCATTCCCCTAAGAATGATAAGCTAAATAGATGCTATGTCAGAATTTCTATGTAATATTTTGCATCAGTTCAACTTGCACGTACTGCTTACGAATTTGTAATTCTTAAAAACAATACATTCTTTCAGCATTTAAAGACCTTTATGTGCATTAAACAAATGGTTTACTTTGTGATACAATACTCCAAATGAGAGAAATGAGAGGATCTCTCATACAGATAGATAGGTTTCTACACTAAAAGGAAATTCAAGCGGTTAATTATAAACCTTACAAATAAGAAACTAAATAGCATTAAACTTGCTCCAGTTCATTCCCCTGCATTTACCAGAGGCAGCATGAAATTGCATAGGGCACACACAACAGGCCAAGGAACAAAGCACCTCCCTAGACCCTGAAAGCTCAGCTGGGCTCCTTCTGGAGCCAGCCTTGGCTCTGCCCTTGTTTCTTGGCACACACTGAATGCAGGCAGGTATTGCTGTTACGTGACTGTGTTTACAGCCTGTTTGCTGAGGAAACAGCACCAAGAGCTGCCGTGTCCAACAATGGCCAATTCCAACAGTCTGGAAAAGAGAGTGCTGTTAAAATATAATGAAGCGCCAACAAATTTTTAGAGTAGTGAGGGGGAAGGGTGATGGGTGCCCAGAAGTGCTTCTGCCAAGGAAAGAAATCATGCTGTCTGGTGGCCCGCTATGTGTGGCAGGGGGCTATCACCAGGACCCCAAAGCAAACAGGAGAAGGAGGTGGGAAGTCAATGTAGGAAAGGACCCACCAGGAGGGGAGGTATCTCTAACGGATGCCGGTTTACTAATGCATGTCTATCCCAACGAGGTGTAGCACATGAAGCCAGTACAGCTAGATCAGGTTGCTCAGAGCCCTGTCCAGCCCGGCCTTGAATGTTTCCAAGGACAAGGCTTCTACCACCTCTCTGGGCAGCCTGTCCAGTGTTTCACCACCCTTGTAAAAAATTTCTTCCTTATACCCAGTCTGAATATAACCTCTTTTAGTTTAAAACCACTACTCCTTGTCTTGTTGCAACAGTCTCTCTTATAAGCCCCCTTTAAGTACTGGAAGGCTGATATAAGGTCTCCCCAGAGCCTTCTCTTCTCCAGTCTGAACAACCCCAACTCTCTCAGCCTGTTCTCATAGAAGTGATGTTCCAGCCCCCTGATCATCTTTGTGTCCCTCCTCTGGACTCACTCTGACAGGTCCATGTCTTTCTTGGGCTGAGGACCCCAGAATTGGATGCAGCACTGCAGGTGGGGTCTGACCAGTGCAGAGTAGAGGGGAAGAATCACCTCCCTCAACCTGCTGGCCACACTTCTTTTGATGCAGCCCAGGCTGTGGCTGGCCTTCTGGGCTGTGAGCACACATCGCTGGTTCATGTCCAACTCTTCACCCACCAGTACCCCAAGTCCTTCTCAGCAGGGCTGCTCTCAATCCCTTCATCCCCCACAGCCTGTGTTGATACCAGGGGTTGCCCTGACCCAGGTGCAGGACCTTGTACTTGGCCTTGTTGAACTTCGTGAGGTTCACACAGGCCCACATCTTAAGCTTGCCCATGTCCCTCTGGATGGCATCCCATCCCTCAGGTGTGTCAACTGCACCACTTGTAATCCTCAGTTCCCTGCAGGATGAACTTCTGCTCCGGCATTTCCCATTTGGGCATCACACTACCTCTTCTGTCTCAGCTGCACACTTGGGCTTGCTCCTAAGCACAGACACTTGGGACCACCCTTTCAAACCTTCTGCCCTCAGAAAGCAGCGTGCAATTTTATGTTGTGAATACGAGGAGTATTCAGAAAGGCACTCTCTCAGAACAAACATCCCAATCTATTTTGTTACCTACTCTTCTCCCTACACACACAATGCATTGCAGAGAGGCTGTGGGTCCTCACACAGAGAAGCATCACTTGCCTGAATGAGAAGACAGACACCTAAAAGCCTCAAGAACATACCCAAGCACTCTTTATGCAAGTTAATGTTTGAGAGGAGGCACTCCCAGCTAGCCATGTCCAGCAGTAAAGACCAGATAAAATTACCCTCCTGGAAAATGCAGCTGATCTATGGTATGGGCACTTTTAAATTGCCAAAGGAATTAATCCTTTTAATTAAGGACATTTTTCAGCACTCTCTATTTAGTTTTTGAGAACCGTGTTTGTGAAATTTTTTCCTTTGTATCTTACATTCTCCTGTTACTAGATCAAGTTAAACATTTGTCTTAAATATCTGCTCGAAAGAATAAGTATTTTCAAGTGTTTGTAACTCTAACAAGCTTGAAATTCATTTAAATCCATTTGGAAAAAAAAAAATCTTAGTCCAACTTAAAAAGCTTGTCTAGAATAAAAAAGCCATTTTAATTTACATTTTCCTGGAATAAGACTTTCAATTTCCACATAAGTAGGCTTTAGACTTAATCTCGGGCTGAGAACCTTGAGATCTTCCTCAACTCTAATAGAGAACAAGTGGTAACAACTTCTAGTGCTTTACATTGTGTTACAAAATACACAATTACAGTAAAAAGAAACCTTAAAACTAAGCCAATTTCTTTAATGCTGAAACCAAGTCAGCTCTCCCCATTATTCTACCACTCTTATTAATGAGGAAAAACACTGGGTCTCCGAGCTACTGGATTTTTATAAACAATTAAATCCACACAGATACGAAACATCTGCTAAAATCTGCTGCAAACTACTACTACTCCGGGCAAGTATTCACAATACTCCATAAATATGTGGTTGCTGACAGCAGCAATCTTTATGAAAGATGAATTTTGAATGCAAACACGTCCGTGCAGCTTTTTTGCTGTTAAATATTTTACACAGAGAAAAGGAGAACAGCCCTGTAGCAAATATTTCTGTAAAGAATTAAGCTCAGGCAAAATACAACAAGTTTGTAAAGGAACAGCCATGTGACAGATGTTCTGTGAAAAGCCAAAGGCTTGCGGCAAAACGGATTTCTTTTGCAGCATACCTGCACTTCGTATTTTTTTCAAGTATCGTCCCCTTGTCTCCCCCCCTTGCAATACAACACTCAATGATCAATTTGTTTTCCTTAAAAATCTGTGTAGTATCTTACTGTTTTGTGGTAAAATATTTCACACACCGAATAATATTGTTTTACACATATCGAAGAACTTCTATTCTGCTCTGAAAAAATATAAGCGGATCTTGCATACATCAGCGGGGGAGGTTTTAGAACCCATACTGATGAAAAAAAACACACCAATTACTCTGTTAAGAGGGCCTACGCACAGTTACTGCTTTAAAATCCAAAGCACTAATAAATTAAACCAAGAAAATCTGCCATAATGCACTTCAATTTTCTTACCAGGACATCACATTTACCAGGTCTAATGTCTTGCAGTTAACTGAAACTGCATGAAATGTGGAGACAACAAACAAACCACGGGAAACATTTGAAAGCAACATCCCAGTGACAGTAGATAATCTACTTACCAAGAGATACCGTTTTCCCTTCTGTTGTGGATTGTGGTTTAGCCTTCTGATGCCTTACCTTTTATTAATAAAAACACAGCAGCTTGCTCCACTAAAAAATGGCTGCATTGCTCAGCTAGCTAAACCATGCTAGAGAATAAGCTGCAGTAATTAAAGAAAAAAAAAAGACAACAGCCCCCCCCCGTTTCTAGTATAAAACTGAAAATATCCATGCTGGCACCTTCAATCATGGAGCTACCCTGGAAGCTGCTGCTGCTGCTGCTATTCAAGTGTCTCCAGTAAAGGTCTTGCCACGCTCTTGCCTCCTGCATGGGTTTTCAGCTATAAGAGCTCAGAACAGACTAACAAACACCTCCTTCCCAACTGAAAGCTCTAATTTCTTCTTCTGCAGTGAAATCAACCAACTTTCTATGCTACAGAGTGAGTGACAGTAATATCAGCCAATCAGCTTGAGTTTTCCAGGAAAATCACCCCTTAATTCATTCAAAATCAGGTCATATGACACTATTTGAAATGCTATTGGCTTAGGAGGAACATAGCATTTTAGCCTAATCAGGATAAGGCCACCCTTCTAAGCCTCCCTAGGCTGAAGCCACCTTGACTCTAGGCAGGCTGGGGATAGGAAAAGAAGAATGCAGACCTACCAGAGCCTCCCAGCTGTTAAAGGGCCGGAGCGCTATTATCTTCTGAACCTTTTTGTCAGAACACTGGGGAATCAAAGTCAGTTCACTAGGGGAAGCATCCTGCAGGAAGCTGAGGATTTTTGTTTTGTAGCCATCCTCCATAACTTCATCGCCACTGCTGTAGTCCTCATCAAGGGAGCTACCGCCATCTTTGGAAGCTGACTCATCCTCTGAGTCTTCTGTGTGTCTTTTAGTAGTCCAAACACTTCTTTTGCCTTTGTCTTTTTTCCGACAGCCATTCTGCTCTTTCACAGAAGATCTCTGCGTCAGTTTCTCTTTACTCTCGTCAATTCTGCTCTTGGTGGAGGCTTTAGTCCAGACAGAAGCTTCACTTTTAGGAAATTCCATGCCTACATGCATGCAATATAGAAGGCAACAAGTCAACACATACTGGTTAAGGGCAAATTAAAACCCACAGTTCTTCCAAAATACAACCTATATAGATATAAACCACAATTCCATTATTTAATACACAACTCAACAGCAGGTGTTACTAAGAGAAGAGGAGCAAACACCATGCAAGTTTGTTTAAAACATGTAAACAGTACTAACTGTGAGTATAAGATGAGCAATGCTAATTTGTATACTGCTCAAATAGCAGGTGGTTTTAAATAACTATCTTAAAATACAGGTGATCAATGTTATGCAACATGTGTGAGCTGCAGAAGTTCTGAGGTAAGAGCAGATAGCTAAGAACTCTGATGTACTGCTGTGATAAGATACTGGTCCCACTCTACCCAACTGCAGAGGTACTAATTCTGCCGATTTCAGAAAACAAGCCTACTTTCACCATGAAAATTACATCTTTTTTTCCATCTCAGTACACCTTTAGAAGTGGGATAACAAAAACATGCACTTGTTAAAGAAACTGGAACAATGAGGTATTTCCAACGAAAATAATCTTATTGTCTTAAAGATTGAGGTTATTTAACAGAAAGTGAGCAAGTCATTTTCAGAAGTGACTCATAAGGGGTTTTCTCTCTTTGGAAGAAAGCACTTGCAACGCTTTCTCTTCTGCCCAATCCCAGCTTGCTGTTGATTAACTCCAGTCCCAATGTCTACCTTCTCAGCAGTAGCAGCAGCAAGGACCCAGCCTCATGCATACTGATAGCTCTCTCCACTTGTAGAAGAAACCAATTAAGAAAGCTATCCTATCCCAAGGATACTTAAATAGCTGATACAGCAAGACATGTATCTGACAGTTGTGTAACACACTGAAAAGTCACGAACTCGTTAAATAGTACTTAAGTTACAACTTGCAGGTTTACCTGGAATCACAGTTCTTACTCCCTACCGCATTTAATGCGCTGGTATTTATAAACTGATTGCATAATTTAAAGCCTATTTCTAGTATTTTTCTCTCCTAGAATATATTTTAAAAGGATAAAATAGCTTATGTCAATTGTCACTTATGCAGTTATTTGCAACTACCAATTTACAAATTACTCCAGTTTAAACCCAAAACTTATTTTTAAACACGCAGGAGGGGAGCAGGTGTCCATTTTTACACATTTCAAAATATATTTTATGATATACCCATAGGTAATTACAACTTCTTATGTAAATCTGTATTAGCAAGGCAAAGATATTTATCTCTACTTACAGAGCAAAAGATAAAATAATCGTGACACTTAAAAATACAGAAAAATTGAGTTTCCTTCTTTTATCCTCCCCATAATACTCATTTCAACTATCACAGCAAGTTTCCAGGCATAGTGCTGTCAGGACTGTCATTACTGGACATTAGAAAAGACATGTATCACAAGTCTGTTTGTTTTATCTTGGGATAAATTGGATTATAAATCGGTCTTTACCCTCACCACCATCTGCAAATACTCTCAGGGCCTCCAGTGCTTCATGGAACACCCAGTTATGTTGCTGAAGTACATCTCTCACTTCCTAGCATAAAATAAGAAATTTTGTATTGTGGTAAGATAAGCAAAAATTTCTGTGCATAACAACATTGAGGCACTAACAATTTTAATTGCACAAGGCAAAGAAAACCCGGTAAAACTGATGATTCAAAATACAGGAAATCAAATGGAAAAAACCCTTCAGTTTATCCTTATACACTCACTTATCAAAAGGGTAAGAACACACATAAACAAACTTTGCTTCCAACAATTCAAAGCACAGTATTAAAATGCCCTGACCAGTTGCTATGTATCATCAGGTACTAAACTAATACAAAGCACACAGTATATCCAGTCATCCAGGGGAGAAGAGTGTAAGAGAGAGGGAGGGAGGGATTTCCCAATGCATTTTTGTAACAGGTCTTCAAATTGGACTATGCCAGGCTTGTCGCAAGATGAAAAAAAAAGTAGGATGAGAGGTTCCATACAGTCCTGATTACATCCAACCACTCTCAGCTCAGGGCAAGTGACATTCCAAAAGCAACAACAGCGAAGACCTTCCTACACTGGGCTCTTTCCAAGAGTGCTGCTGGTGTAAGGATTGTTTCACTTGGACTATCAACAGCAACAATTTTCTTAAGTAGACAAAACCTGATGCACCATCAAGAGACATGAGCTCACCTCCTTATCCAATCCAGGGAATGTATTCTGCAGCTTCTTCACAAGCATCTCTTGCCTCTCCCATTGCCTCTGGGGTTCTGACTCATCCAGCTACATTTAAGAAAAAAAAAAAAGAAATCTATTAGGTTTAATGTAAATTACAAGCATAGAAACAGAATAAACCCATAATTAAAACCAATCAAACCTAATCAATATTGCTGATCCAAATGACAAGAGCACTTAATACAAATCCAAGCTGCAGAAGTGATTCCTCATACATAGCTTATGCTCAAAATAAGACCAAAACGTTCGTAAGCATAGAAAGTGTCTTCAGTCGTGGAAGACTGGCATTCTTTACCCGATAAGCATACACAATGCAAAGTTAAATACCAAAATATAAATAATTTAGAACTATCTAGTTTGTATTTCTTTAAAATAAAAAGTTATCAGTGATTCTGGATGATATTTAAGGCAGAAGATGGCAGGGTTAATAGTCAGTCAGTTTGATTAGATTACCAAGCATGCATTTAACCCACCAGAGACTATAAACATGTCAAATGGTGTGTTTATATGAAGATTTATGGGTAAAAAAATCCACAAGTACTGTGTCATAGCACCATGGAGTCACATCAAAAGCTGGCAAAAGTTTTCATCAATAATAGCTTCACTAACAGCTACTATCAGCCTGCAGAAACAGAGGTTACTTATGAATGATTGCCAAAACTTCTATGTGCCACAAGCTTCTCTGTTATGTATTCACCACAAAGTTATGCAAGTTTCCTCACAGAGCTTTGAATGCAACATGGTTACAGATCTACTTATCTAGAGCAGAGATGTCAACAGGTTTGATCAATATTCACTTCGCTGAATGATGCTATCTGCTGAAAGAGCACAAACCAGATCACCCAGAAGCACTCTGAGTAACAGAGGACACGGTTCCTTTCTTCAGTGAGCCTATGGTATCAAGAGTACAGCTACAGTACGTACAGCAGCTGGCAAAGTATGCTTTGGTCTTTGGAATCAACTTAGGAATTGGTGGAAAAGCAAGAGCAAGAAAGAAAACTGCACGTTCTCACTATGACTCCCTATTGCAAGTTCTAAAAACCTGTGCTTCAGCTTCAATTTTTCAGAATCCTCCCCCTTTTAACTGTAATGGAACTGTTAAGCACAGAAATCAAGCTGCTGCATGAAACCAGGTCCAGTGAAGCACTGTTTGCTAGGCTGGCTGGGTAATAATTTGGCAAAGTCTCCTTTGTAACATAACTCAGGGGTTTGGTGAGGAGGAACAAACCCAAACCCCAGCATATCTTGCCTCACAAAATTCACAGCTCTCCTCCAGGAAGTAGGGAAATATCTGAGTAATATTATTCTTGCTTTCATAGGAAACTCTGCATTGTCTTCATTTTGTTCTGACAGAGGACAATATTCAGTTAAATTTCAACACAAGGACAGTCACCATCCTTCATCCAGCCTCCAGTATCTACTGTAGAATTCCCTTTCTCTACCATAACTGGTTTTCAAGGACATCTACTGGGATGCCTGAGAGCTGGCCTCATGACAGCACTGTAGGACTGTGCATAAGATCTGCCAGATACCAATTTGAATGCACTAGGATCATTACACAGTTCCCATTTACTAGCAGAGGCCAAAATAACTATTCCTTTAAACATAACCAATTCATTCATTTTAACAATTTCCCTAAATCATAGTTTCAAATACATACATAAACATCACTTCTGCAACACAGAACAGTAGCGACAGATGTTGAAATTCACCTATTTGAGGAAACATAAGGATTGACCTGATAAGGCAAGGTGATCCATAGCCTCTAACTCCCACTGATGTTCACAAGAACTGAACGGCATCCAACGCCTCACATACTGCTACCTGCCATCAATCACTTCCGTGAAAAGAGTGAACAGGCTATTCGAAAACAAATCTACAAACACTGAAGAACAAAGCAGGCAATTCCATTCAGAACTGCCAAGCAGAAGAAAGTAGAAAGCCCTCACTCAGATGGCAAGATTTGAGTTTGACAAGTTCATGACACCACTGTCACTGACAAAGTCAGGTAATTCCACTTATTTTACAATGCACAGAGAGAAAAAATGGTACTTACGTAATCGGCTTTTGGCTTTTTTGTGCCTTGCTTATCTCTGTTTTTGCAATTTGTGGGAGAATCTTTCAGTTTCCTTTTACGAAAGGGAGCTTTAAAAAGAATCAAGGCAGAAAAGAGTAATTAGTTACTTTCATTAAGTTCACCCCAAAACAGTAGGATCATTCAAACTAACCCTTTGCAGCTACTTATTAACTGCACAAGATGTTTACCAATCTGCATAACATTTTCCTGTTATAGTCCACAGATACATTGAAACTTCAAGCAAAGCAGCTGCTTGAAAGTACATGTTTAATTACCTCTAAGTTTTCTTCAGCAGTTTGGCAATTAATCAAGCAATTACTTCTCATATATAACAATTGAAATAGCTTTTTTTTTTTTTAAATAATTGTCAAGTATTTTACACACAAGTTGCATAAAGGTATATGTCTGTCTGGTTTTATTCAAGCTGACTGCTTCTGGAAAGTTGGTATTTAATCAAGGCTGAACCCCAATTGTCAGTTGGAATATGTACATCACTGCCAATCTGGAAGTGCTGATGACTGATTCCTGGCTCAGATGCACACCTGAAAGGTTACCACCAAACAGTTTTCAGTATTAAATACAAATGTCTGAAAGAAAACTATGCAGATTAAGTCAATGATAACTAAATCTCAGTGATAACCATATTACTTATGAATAGTTTGTATGAGCCAGAACTTTCTGAATATCTTTGGGCCCTCGTGATTATCAAGAGAATATCATCTTGGCATTAAGACCTGCCCAGTCAGGTGCATTTTCTGAGTACCACCATGCACAGCTCATGAAGGCAAGAACACACTACCACTATTTCTGCACATTAGCTTGCTTGAAGCAGCAACTGTTACCAGACCAAATTATTGTTAAAATTCCTAGTTACTGGAAGTTTGAAGAATAACTGCCTGCAGAGCTCTGATGTCCAATACTGCATCTCTGGCCACCCTCCCCTGCCAAAGGAGACTTGTTAACACACGCGTGTGCACACACACAGAGCAAGCCTGCCTGGATGATCAAAATGGTTTTAGTTGTAGCCACATCTTTGCACTAAAAGGTATTTTGTGTGGAAATACTTTCAAATAAATTCTCTACTAGACTCACACACTCTCTGACATCAGAGATGCGCATACAAATATTTTAAAAAATGAATCATTAAAACATCCCAAAAACAGAAAAATAAAGCATCAGCAATTCTTCCTTAAATAAAGGATCTGGCAAGAGATACCAAAAACACTGGTAAGATTTTTTCAAAGTCTATGAATTCCTACATACAGGTATAAATACATGCCAGAAGCACAGTTCAAAACATCCAGAGACTGTGCCAAAGGAGGGAAGGTGGCTCTCCTTCACCATTCAGACCTGAACCTTTCTGCCTAAGAAGTCATTTAAACAATATTGCCAGGAAAAGCCACACTACTAGCTTCAGTCTGAGAAACATGCGTTTGTCTTGCTATTAAAGCTAAGGGCTATCAGGCTGTTGATAGGTAAAGCATTAGAAGTCATGAAGGTCTCATGCTATTACTGCTTAAGCTCAGTTAAAAACTGCACCCAGGATGGATAATTCTGGATACAAACAGCAACCCTGCAAACTTCTTTGCCCTAACAAATACATGGGCTCCATGTAAGAGTATTTCGAAGGTCTCCCTGCTTTGAAGTTACGGGCTGAGCACTCCATCTTTGAAGAAAGCCTTATCATGAGCAATTTTAGAGGCAATTAATGGTAGCAAAGGATCTGGATAACTACAGTCTCAGGAACCTATCAATAAAGAATTATTTAGAAGTCAACCTGTGGTTTTCTGAAACCCACCACATCTGCAAACGACAAAAAAACTCCCAACTTTCTGAAGACATTCACTTTGCAAGGTACACTTAATTATTCCTTCCCATGCTAAGGGAGCATACAGCTGAGCAGATGAAGAAACTCTATTACTGCTAGATGGGAACCATCCTTGGAGCGGAGGCAGGACACAATGGGCCTTCCAGATGAATCCTTGTTCTCTCTAAAAGTTTTATGATTAACAAGCAATAAGAAAAGCAGCTCTAGGGTTTCAAAATTTAGAGAGGCATTTGTAATTACTTCCACTGTTATTTACTGCCACCACTACAAAAAATCTTATTACTGTGACTTCCCCCACCATTACAAAAGAAACAGTCATTTCTGCCTGTTCAAAAAGCAGTGAACAATAAGACAGGTTTACATGAAGCTTCAGCTCAAAAGCACCCTCACTGATTTCATGGTTTGAGATGTACAGGAAACACCAGAAACAAATCACAAGCAGCCGGTATTACTGTAACTTCAATTCTTTCATTCATAAACATATTTTCATTGTGTCACATCCAATCTGCATACCTATGTCACCTGCAATGCTTTGGTTTAGCTATATATAACTACTAAATTCAAGCTATAAATACAAGTTTTTGTCATTTTGAAAGGACAGAAAACCTTGAGGATTACTTGGCCAGACTTTTTTAGCAAAGCCATGCTTCACAAAACCGTATCTTGTCTCTGACCTCTCACACAGTCAACACTTCACAACAAGTGTATAATAAATTAACACAGATAAACAGATGTTCAGTAATGTTTCCATTTTAAAAAATGTGTCCAAAATGAGGTGATTTATACCACCACTTTCAGGCATGCTTACTCCTAACTAAATATTTTATACAACAGCTGTGACTAGTGAGAATTTCGCTGCCAAGACTTTTGTGTGAGCTCATATTGAAAGGATGTGAAACAGCATTCTTGGATCAACACAAAAATGGCCAAAAGGCAGGGCCTACATACCAGAAAACAAAGTGCTTTAGTTCAAACTTTAAACTAGTTCGAAGTTTAAGGATATACATTAGCTTAAATTGGTTTAATATTGATCAAAACCCTTGAAAAAGTAATCACAGTCTTCCAGGAAGGGATTTTCTAGGAGCAGCAGCACTCAGAAGTAGTGTGTCCCTCAAACCTATGTCAGCTTTAGCTTTCTATTGCCAACATCCAAGACAACCCCATCTATAGAATCTGATCATGCACACAGTGATAACCTCAAAATGTTGGTCTGGTTGGGTACAAAAAGCCAAACAAAAGACAAAAGCAATCCTTCATTAAAATTAGCCCAGTGTTTTAAAGTTTTCCGATAATTGTTTAAAAAAAAATCTTTGAAGTTATATATAAAAAAATCAGAAGATGAAAATAAGATAAGTACAACAGGGGGAATTACATTAGCAAAAAAATCTACTTTAGAAAAGGAGTAAAACTGTTCTCCCTCGGCACATGAGCTGCCTAGACATATTCCTTCCAAATGCACAGGATACTGCATGACAGATGAATCGCTTAGAAGAACTAAAATAATGAAGAGTGATCATAATAGCTTTTTCCATCATAGCCAAACCATGAAGATATCTCAGGAAAACCATGGACAACTGAACTGCAAACAGATGAAGACTGCTGAAACAGATCAGCTTTTTATAATAACGTTCATATTCATACCAACCTTCCACTCTTCCACCACCAACCCCAGTAAATCACTCCAAAAGATTAATATAAGAGATTTAACCCTAGACTTAAGTGATGTCAACAAACAAATCCAAAGCCCAAGAATGATGACCCTTTTACACGCTTACCACTTTCTACACTCTCACACATCATGTGTTCGGTTTTTTGGTTTGGTTTTTGTTTGCTTGGGTTTTCTCATAACAGCATGAAACTGCATAAATTCAGATGCAGAACAAAAAACCCTCAATAAGCCCTGAGGGCTTAAAGGCATGGTTTCAGGGATGTTTTGCTAGAGAACTGTGGGGATTTGTCTAATGTTTATGACTAATAGTTCTTATTCAAAATTACAAGAAAGTCTTGAAGTCAACCTGAAGAGAAAATCGTGATGGGCCTTGACAAAAACAGTATCTAGTTATGAGCAGCTACACACACCTATTACACTTTTTCCATACCACCAGATTTCTCACCTACGACATTTAGAATTACTATTGCTAACTCATTACTATTTCCTCAACTTCTGGGCAAAGAAGGAACAAGAAAGAACAGAAATCACTAAAGGACCCACATGTGAAACAATCCTGAGCTTCACAAAACAAATTCCCCCTTTTTGTTCTATTTTTGGATTTTGGTGCACATCCTCTTTTCATCTTTCCCTTTGCAAAGCCTGTAATTTCAGCTTTATATTACCACAATAAACTATACTGCCATTACAAAAACAATAGTATAACTTTTAGTATATGTTTTACCACTTTTTAAATACATCCCAAAAAAGTTTACTTCACTGAATTAGCTACAGCTTCTAAAGTTGGGGGTTTTTGAGGGTTTTTGAGGGGGGGGGTTGTGGTTTTTTTTTGGGGGGGGGTTTTTTTTTTTTTTTTTTTTTTTTTTTTGTTAAACATACCTTCATCATTCAACTTCAAACCAGCATCTATTGCTTCATCCATTGTGCGTGCTGATTCTACTAACTGCAGGAAAAAAAAAGTCAATTGATAAGTGGTGAGATCTAATCCAGTTGAACAAGAGGACAATGACAGAAAATGGCTGAAATACACTTTAAAACACTCCAAAAATACATGTATTATAAAATCCAAGAACAAAATTAACAGTTACCAAATTACCTAGACTGATCCCATAAGATGTATTTAGAACATGTTTTTAATACAATCTCATTCATTATCACTTTTTTCCCTACTTCACAAACATATGGTGCAGGTTTACTCAAAAGCTTTTTTTCCAAAAACTATTCAATGTTACTATCACAAAACCAGATAATCCAAAAAACTAATTTCTTAACTCATAAAACATCTGTACACTGTTACATCACATTGTCTATGTCCTGCAAGTACGTGCATGAAGCTTACAACACGCCTCAAAGTTTATCTATACTTCCTTGGAGTCCTAGATTCTTTCTCTATCCAGGTGTAATCTCAAAATAGATCATTTTTACAAATTAATTGGATGTTGAGACTTCTTGAATGCTTTTTGCAAGTGAGATAACTGCAACAGAAGCAAATGACCTGAAGGTTAGAAACACAAAAAAAAAAACCAAAAAATTAAGTTATGAGGAGTCCTGACTTCCAAATCACATTTGTAAACAGCATCTTACAATTTTGCTATAAACACACAGTTTCCTTTTCAAAGGACTCATCATTTTTCCTTAACAGCCTTCATCAGTTGCATAGGGTATGTCAGGACATACTGTTCCAGATCCTTCATGAAGGAACAATAGATTTGCCTAATATCTTTCCATCTTACTTCAAAAATGTTGTAGATACATAACTGTGGACAAAAGTTTGTATGGTCTTTATACACCACAAAGTTGTGCTGATAGAGGAGCTCTCCTGAGAATAAATACCATCAACACTACATACCACTGAGTAGTTAAAAACACCACTGAAGTCACAAAACAGCAGCCAGACACAGCACGTGTCATTTCTAGGTCGTTTCTAAGCTACAATGAACTGTTATCACTCAGTGGCTTAATATATTCTACATGGCCAAAAACTGAAACTTTGTAAATTCTGGACATCTACAACGTAAATTTTATTACAACGCCCAGGAGAAAAAAGTCCAAAACTGCTATTTGCAACCCTTTTTTTCTTCCTGAAGTAGAAAGCCTAAACAAGCTTTAGCTTGATGCCACAGGGAAAAAAAACACCCAGCGAGGAGCATCAGTACAATTTCAATTATTCCTTTAACAACATTTCAACAACCAGGAAACTTAACAGATTGAATTAAACACATTTAGCTTTGAAAACTAAAGCTAGGGAAAACCTAGTTACATATCAGCACTGAAAAGGAACCTTGCTAAAGATATATTTCACTGTACTGAAGATATTTTACTGTAATAAGTTACCATAATGTTACTATAGATCTGTACTATACATTGGACAATGGCCAAGAGTATCTCAGGTTCACATGTCAGCATAATCAGAATAACTTATAGTAAGTTCAAACCTACTCTCTTTTTGCCTCACTGGAAGTATTTAGTACTTCCTTTGCACATGAAATTCCATAAATGCAAGAGTGCAAAGTTTAATCTACTGGAGACGGCGGCAACGATTTCACTCATTCTGCATTTGATCAGTTAGCTATCTTGGTTTATAGCTATTGATAACTGCCGTTGTTGGAGTGCAGCTATAACTAAGATTAAATGTTGCAACAGAAAGAAGTAATAATAGAAAAATTTTCTATACATTTGAATTCCATGTTGCTGAGTTGATCTAAAGGTGTATATATAAGAAAAGGAATATATATACTTACACCCTTATATATACATAAGGAACTGTGTATGTACGTATGTACATATGGAAACGTCACATGGCCGTAGTTCCCCTAAAATACATTACTATGATACATCTTTTTTGCTAATAAGAATTAAGGGTGTTCCCTCTAATAACGCCAGAGGCTTAGGAATACTGGCTACAAAATAATCAAAATAAATCAAAAGAACAGAGCATTATTACTTGTAGTAATTCTTGGTCGCTTCTTTGGGGAAAAAGTTCCTTCAATGTTTGCAGCTTTGTAGCTCTGATGTCTTCCTCAACACTCTTCTTCACAGGTGACAGCTGATCCCCACCATTTACATGTGCCAAGTGGGGTGGTTCATCTTCAGGCTCGTCATCATCATCAGAGCTATGACATACGGGGGAGGAGAAAAGGAATTTAAATTTATTTTTGCTTATGAATGTTTTACTCTACCAGAACATTACTGTGAACCAAAACCAAGAGTATCACAAAAATAAAATGTGTTTAGATGCACTCAGTAAGACTGAATCAGCTCGTACCCAGCGATATCTCCTATTCAGGACAAAATAAAGCATATATGAGTCTGTTTGCAGTAAACACATTTGAGCCTAGCAAAGGAAAGAAAGGAGGAACAGACAAGGGAAGTACCATGACTTACACTTGTACTGTGCTATAAAAAGGTTACTTGCCAATTTAGCAACAACCATCTTAATATGTCATCATTTCAGCTACCTGAATTACATCAGACCATGTCAAGTTTGTCCTAAGCAGTCTTGCTAGTATTTATTTGTCCCACAGATAAATGGATACAGTTAAGTTCTTTGTAAAAACTTTCCAGATGTAGTATCAAGTCTGTCCTACTTCTCAGCAAACTGAGAATGAAAATTCAAAAGATCCTTATGCAGAGTCTTCAACGTCTAAACATGTGAAGAACCTTTCCAAAAAAAAGTAAAATCCTGAATTTATTGGGAGATATATTATTAGAGCTAACCTGCAGTAAAAACAATCTTTATATATTTTTCAAGATATTCAGCTGCACAGACAAGACTGAACATAAGCACAGGTATCCCATCCTACTGCACTCCATAGACACATAAAAACCTCCTTTCCTGAATGAAAATCAGTTGAACTGTATGGAGTTTGCCATTTCACAGGTGAAGTCCCATCAGAAAGGCTTGCCTGCAGGTCCCTCTAGACAGACATAGGTAAAAGATTAAAAAAAAAAATAAAAAAATCATGTTTTTCCTCACTATAAAAATATTTAACAGCTGCAACAGGCAGACTGCAATACAATTCTGAAAAAAGTAGTAACATGCCACTTTTCTAGAAAATACACACTCTTGAGACAACTGTTCATCAAATAATCCTTTTCTCCCTATCCTGTTCAAAAGGCCTACATAGCCATGTGGACTCTCCAGTTTTGCCTCTTAAGAGTGAAAAAAAAAAAAATTCCTCAAAAGAAATAACCCAAACTAACTTCAGTCTACCCATCCATCTAGTTGTAAGCTTCAGAAGGTGAATCTAGCATCCACTTAAAAAAATAATCTCAGTGAAACAGTGTATTAAAATTCTATCAGTATATTTCAGATCTTTTTGCCTTGATAAGGAAAAAAGTTTCTTCATAAACTGCATCTAAAAAAAGATTATCAATCCAAATGGAAATGGTAACACTGCAATTACCTTATTCTTCCCTATCAGGGATTAACATCTAGATATTTGTCAACAAAGCCAGAGTTGCACACATCATAACTCTTGTCCTCTCTGTATAATCACATTCTTATCTAGCATGAAGGAACAGTCATTTAACCACTAAACAAGTATCACTCTGACCCACAAAACCTTGTGTAAGAGTTCTGCTTTTTTCCAACAAAGTCCAGACAGCGACTCTGGTAGTGAAGCTTAAAGCACACTTTGTTTTAGGAAAGACATGCTTTCTGCTCTGAACTTTCTGCTTTCTGTTCTGTCCCTTATTCAGGATAACGAGGGTTGGGATACCCCACAAAAATAAAAAAATTCACAAAACCTCCAAATAGTAGGCAACACATGCACTAAAATGCACAGTGCAAAGACACTCAACTGACTTGATTCTGTGCAAAGCCAGGCTAAATTCCAGCACAAGCCAGAGCTCATAAGCCTGGCCAGATCCAAGCTAACTCCTGCCACTCTCCCAATTAATTTATCAGCTCAACCAGAACGCCACTTATGAGACAGCTTAGTGGGTTCAGTGCACATCAATTAGCACCTGAGCCAACACACCATGCCAAAGTGTCAGGCTCTGGAGTGCCTGGTGCATAAGAGACCAGTGGCTACACAGGAATAACGAAGAGTACAAGAGGATGTAGACAATGTTTATCAATCCCACAAGGAGCCACTTTGCTGTCCGTCTCTCACTCCCAGTAATTGGAATACAGTATAGAAACAGCAAGCTGTGGCTGTGCAAGTTGGATCCTGCATGGCTTATTAGCGTCGGCTCCACACGGTACAAACCGCTTGTAACGCTTCCAAAGGGGGTTGATCCCAGAAGCAGTATAACTATGTTTATACAGCACTGCACACAAGCCAATTAGGCGCATGCAACCAGTTTGCCGTCTCTGTATCCTTGCACAATCTACAACTTAAACCATAGACAGGAGTTCACTCTGCTTACTACTAAGTTTTTTTTCTTACCAAGCATCTGCCTTAAGTTGAAACTTCAGGGAAGATGCATTTAAAAAAATAAATCAAGAATTTCAGTTAATAGCAGCAGGGAAATGTATTATTTCATTTCTGCTGACAAGCTCCAGTAACTCCACACTCCGTGTAAGGACTGAAAATCTGACAAGAGACTATGTCTGTTAAGGTTATTATTCCCATAAAAGTTTTCCACGGATTAGTTCAGCCGGACTGTCAAAAAAGCAGGTTAAGCCATCTTGTTTTGCTTAGCACAAGAACACTTAAGGGGCACAGACAATTACCACATTTTGGTCACACACACATATAACTAGCAGGTAATGAATAGCAGGGGTTTCTTTAAACCATTCCAACTGGTTGCACGAGATTTCTGTCTACATCTTGTCTTTCCTGCACTCTCAATGCTGCCTTTTTAGCACCCACACAAGTGACTCTTGCACACTGCTCTCTTCTCCCCCAGCTTATTCAAAAAGTTAAATTTCAAAATCATTAAAAAAAAATTTCACTAAGCATAGCAAAAACATCATGCAACTAATACTTAACTTTAGCTTGAGAACTCTTATACTACACACTGAAGCTCTAATTACTTTCCTGTCCAGTACGGTTTCATAAAAAGAAAAATGAAACAATCTAAAAATCAACTCCAATACAGTTTAAAACTAAAAAAAAAGCAAGTATTTTATGGTTAAGCTTTCAAGTGCCATTAAAAAGATATCAGAGAGGTAAATACACAAACATATCATGAAGATCACACGTATCATTCAACATCACAGAATTCCTCCCTTGGAAGCTGCTTCTCTGAGAAAATGGCTTAAGACAGGGATTCTTCTTCCCTGGAAATCCACTCAAGTTTAGCTAGAGACAGGTAAATCACAAGCCAGTAAACCAGAACCTAGCCTTGAATTTTCAATTCAGTATTTCAGTGTAGAACATCACATCAAGTTGCACAAACATTACAGAAAACTGGCTTAAAGCATACATTACAACTGCGTTTCTCCTTGGAGCCCTGTTTTCTTTTGCAGCACTGAAGTCTCTTGGTGGTTCATCATCGCTGTCTGAAGACAGATCTAAGAACCGTACCCATCTTTGACGCTTGAAATAAGATAGTTTCTTTGCCATCTTGACTTCAGGAGTTTCTGGGACGGTGGAGTACTCTGTGCAAGACATTTCAATAGGAGAAAATAGGAGACAATGACTTACTACTTAAAACTTCAAACATTTATCTGTTCCTAAAAGCTAGCTATGATTTCTTCTTTATACACAGCAATCATTTAAACAGAACTCACATCCTTATGCATGGAAAATTCCTGTAAGCTGTATTCCTTAAAGTGGTAACTTAACTGGCAAAAGATGCTCAGCCTTCTTACATCAAACAATTTTTATACTACAAAGGTTAAGAGATCACGTCTTCTAGGTTAATAACTACTTAAAAATACATTTTTATTTTTGTAAAAACTAATAATCAGCAAAATCCTCTGAACTACTTCCAGGCTGATCAGGTCACAGACAGACACATACTGGTGTATCTGATTGCTGATTTATGATCTGCTTGTCTCTACAGCTTTTCAGAAAGGGAACATCAGCATTACACTGCAGAAAACTAGGAATCTACACTGAGGAACTTGACAGGTAAGTTGCAACGCCTGTAGAGATATAATCTATTTAGCCAGTCTTTTCCACATTATGCTCCAGATGATTCTTAACAAGGAAACAGCATACGGAAGGATGCTTTGTGTCAAATACAAAGCATCAGGATATACAGAATCTATACATACAGGATACATCACCGAAGACATCTCATGAATCGTCTACCACCATCAATGACACTTGCAAAATTGACCCACTATGCGTGCATTAGCACCTATTAACTTTTCAGTTCTGAACATGATTGTTAGACAACCACAAGCATAAGCAGCCAGTCTATTCATGTAATTCCTGAATTAGTCATGAATAATGCATGACTAAGTCCACCAATGTCAGCTACACCTGAAACCAACTCCATGCATGTATCTAGATGGGGAAAACATGACCACACAGGGAAACCCACACTAAACCTGACATACAAAATAGGTCTTGACCTGAAGGGGAGAGAGGACTAGAACACTATAAAATAAAAATCAAAAGGCCTATGTTTTATTAGGCTTTGCCCTGTCACCCTCTTTCAGCACAACACCAAACGCAGATAAGGCACAGTACGCTCTAACTGCATGAATTGTGTATTTCACGGTGGTTCTAACTAAAACTCTGATGCTCCCATATAAGCCTGGGCAAGGTAAAACACATAGTTCAATCCAGTGGCTACAGAGGCTAGAACCATTCCACTATCATCTTTACAAAAGCAAAAAAAAAATTTTAGTTGATACATGTGGATTTGAATGTGCAGCTTCTAGCTCTTCTGTCTTTAAACCTGCACTAAATAGAACTGCATCTGTAACTAAACCCTTGTATGCATTGCTACCTCTTAAGTGTGCTATTTCAAGTCAGTAATCGGAGAAAAACAGTCAGGGCGTTATGCGAAACGTATGCGCCAAGAAACGTATGCGCCAAGAACTGTACATCGCCTGACCTAGTGCAGCAGCCCCCACATTCAAGACTTCATTCTTTTCTACCAATTCACCACTTTTACAGCCAGTGCTGGAAAGAAAAAAATAGTTGGTAAGCTGAGTAATTTTAAGACCAGACAAATTATGGACCCTGCGGGCATATAACTGAAAAGAGGAGTAAGAATGCATAGAGCAGAGAATGTGATAGCTGCAGAGAACTTTTTCTGTATGAAAGTAATCTTACAGAAAATAAATTTAAAATAACTCACTGTGGCAGCATTTAATGGAAACAAAGACAAATCCTAAGAGTACAAGCAATTTGCTGACATGGGACACCACCAGGTGGTACTGGCTTTGAAACTGAAAGGTACCAAATAAACTAAAAAAATATAGTACCAAATTTCACACAGCACATTACTGAAAATGAAGAAAAGAACTTGAAAATGGAGTTTAACATCGGTTAAAGGGATGGGAGTGAGGAAACTCAAACTTCTTGACTATCCATGAGGAAAGGCAAATAAGCGTTCAACGACAGTTCATAAAAGCAACTGCTGAAGTCTTAAGTCTTCAGATGACCTTAGCTACACATAGGAAAAATCCTATCAAAAATAGGAACCACACTTCTAACCAGGCATTAGGCCATCAGTTTGGAAACAGAGAAGCAAGAAGAAGGAAAAGCACGTAATTATCATCATCTCAGTTTTTAATTCACGGAAGAACATCACAGTCTGTCAGAGTTAGTTATAACAAATAAGAATTGTCTTGTTTCAGCAGAGAAACACATGTTTTAATATCCATCTAAACCCCTCTATAATCTAGCATTTCCATATTTCTTACCGACAAGGTTTAATAAGAAGGGGTTAGTCTCTCTTTCGTGCCAAAGAAGAATCTGCTTCCTAGAAGGTAAAACTTGCCAGTCACCTATCTGCTGCTGCCGCAACGCAGCCTGCACTCACTCCTCTGCTCCACACAAACAACGGCCACCTCCTGCTGCCCTCCTAGCTCATCAGGACAAAGGTCCCCTGGCAGCAAACACATCCACACAACATGGACCCTTCCAGTCACTGGCCTCAGACACCCAGTGCACCCAGGAGGTAGCCTCAGTCTCCTCACTTGCTGGCACCAGCACAGGAGCCCCCAGGGCCTGCACCCCACTCTGGTTGTCGACACAGACCCCCTTGCAGAGGCTCGCAGACACACGCACCGTGGATCTCTCCACCCTCTACACTGTGGCTGGCACTGGGTCCCCTCACCTTGGGCTGCCCCATGCACAAACGGGCGACTCAGACCCTGTGGTCCCTCCCTGGCTTCCCAGGTTGCCTCGCTTGCTGGCTTGTCCCCTGGTACCCCCATTCCCTCCAAAAAAGGTGGCACCACAGATACGCAAGCCTCCACAGCCCATGCTGGCTGTCACTTGATTTTACACTCACTTTGGTCCCTCCAGCTGCTGGTACCCCAGACACATGGGCTCCTGTGCCCCCTGGTCCTCACTCCAGCTGCTGGCACTTAGACCTACACACACACAGGACAGACTCCCCTACCTAAGAAAGTAGCTAGAAGAGGATTTTAACAAGCAACAGGACTGACTATGGTGATGACAAACAGGGCATGGCCACACAAGTATACTGACCTGTCTATGTGTAACCAACTCCTGTTATCCTCTTATCCTGTTTTCCCCACACTTGTTCCTCTTCAAACCACTCTGATCCCTCCCCTTCCCCACCTCCGGTTCCTGCCCTTAAATATCCCACAGCAAGTTTTGTATGAACCTACAAAGCTCTCACATCTCAGAGTAAGTCCCATACCCCCTTCAGTCTGAACGGTGCTCCCAATAGACTTGCTGTTGAATCACAGTGATAGGCACCACCCTCAACTCCTAAGGCTGACGGCCCTCTGTGACAGCCCTGGGAGAAGCCAGGGCAGGTGTCACTCCTCCAATTGCATTATTTAGGCTCCCTCCCACACCTCTATGCAAAGAACAAGCCTTTTACGCCATGCCGTGACATAAGAAATCCCATCCATGTAGCTGGTACTGAAGAAACAGGAGCTCCCCACTGTCGACAGCATCTGATTTACACTGTAAGAAGATGGCTGAGAACACAGACCAAGAGAGACCAGGCAGAAGAGACCCCAGAATTGGAGAGAGGATAGCCATGGTTTATTGAAAGCCTCAGCGAACAATGACAGAGAGTAATATACTCTTAAGTGGTGCGGTGGATGGGTGAAAAAAAAATCTCCACACATTTCCTACACTAAAGAGCTTTGAATCATTATAAGAAAACAGAACAAAACTACCCAGGGAAGGTACAGGAAAGTCAGCTACAAAACTCCAGGGAGAGTTGAATTTTAATGATACAAATGTCAGTGTAAGTCCTCATATAAAAGGATTTTACATCCTCATAATGCAACTACAGCATCACGGGCATCCTCTCCCCTCTAGTGCATCAATCCTTTCTTAAAACTAATATGCCTATAATCCAAACACCAATGGTACTTTCTCAGCTGGAAACTGAGAAATAACTCTGGAACCACAGTTTTGGCTGGAAATAAAAGTAGTTTCTTCTGCCTCCATTCACTAATGCAGAAACTTGCTGAGTCAAGTTACTGGAGTGTTAATGCCAGTTTTCAAAGCTGATTTGCCAGCACAGACTAGACACAGAAGAGGCTAGAATAAATTCATCTGATAATCAGATGCAGAAACAAGCTACCTGGTGTCCAATTCCTTCGTCTGTGATAAAAAGCCTCAAATTAAATTGAGTTATAAAAATCCAAACCTTTTCTATCACTTTCAAAACATGACAGAGGATTATGGTAAAGATTTTTAGAAGAGGCTAAAGTCTCATTTTGTAAAGTAATCTTGTTATCTCGAAAAGTCCATACATACATAAATTTAGGAAGGCCTGAAAATTACTAGTTCTGAAGCAATACACGTTCTGTCCCAATACAGGCCTCCCTACAACCAAGACCAACATGTTGGCAGTAAAAAGTACCTTCCTCTATCTATACATGTTTGGAAGGAGACATGCTGCCCTTGACACAGTTGCTTTGCTTTACCTGAAAACCCTGTAAGTTTTAAGATGAATACAGGAGAAAAGCAAGAGAGACCTTCGGGCAAACATTTTTATTAGATTTTAACATAAAGATGGGGGCAAATGTATTTCAGCAATTCCTCTCTAGCAAAGAAAAATAAAGCAGAAAAATTCCGAGGGTTATAAAGTTCGTCTAGCCAAGTGTCCTAGGTTACAGTGTAAGATGTGC